GGTTGTATTTGAAACAAACTATATATATATATATATATATATATATATATATATATATATATATATATAAGCGGTCAAATGTAAACCACTCCTTTTTATACAAACACTACAAACTAATCTCATCCATCCGTTTTCATGATCAAATGTCATTATTAAAATGAGTTATTTTAGTAAATTAAAAATAATAAAATTATTATTATTTTATCCAAGAAAGGGCAAAATTGGAAAAAGTTTTAAAAGTTTCAATCCATTGAAATATATTTTCCCCATATTCAATCCCTTTTCCTTGCATTTATCTTGTTCAATCGCATTAATCGCATTAAACGTTTCAACCATTGAAATCTCAAGATGAAACGATATGATTTTATACAACCTACAAAGCCTTAATCCAAATTATTTGTATAAATTGGTAAATGAGAAAACAAAATAATGGATATCAACATTGATGAAACAAAATCAAAGCTTTAAAATCTATATATATGATTTTATTATTAGATTGGTTTTAACCAAAAATGTTAGGAAAATCTGGGAAATCATATATTCAACAAAAATATTCTTTATTCTATGAGTAGATATTAGAATTAAATAAATTTCACATTAAAAATAGAGTTACCTAGAAACTATAAGATGAGGAATATTTTTAATAAATCATGAAACATAAAAATATTCTTTAATCAACAATGAAAATTGAAACATTTTGAAATCTGAATAATATGATTTCATCAGTGAAATTGATTTCATGAATGAAAAACTTTGAAAACTGAATAACATTATTTCATTAGTGAAATTGGTTTCATGGTTCATAATCCAAAAGAAATTTGATTTATTAATGAAACTAGATATGGTTCAGTCAATAGAACATTTTTTGAAAACTGAGTAACATGATTTCAATAGGGAAATTTGTTTCATTAGTGAAATTGGTTTCATGAATAAAACATTTTGAAAATTGGATGACATGATTTCATTAGTGAAATTGGTTTCATGTTTCCTAACTAAGATGAAATTGGTTTCATGGTTTCTAACCACAATGAAATTGGATTTATTAATAAAACTAAATATGATTCAGTCAATGGAACATTTTGAAAACTGAATAATATGATTTCATTAATAAAATTAGTTTCATTGTTCTTAACCAAAATGAAATTAGTTTCATGAATAAAACATTTTGAAAACTGGATAACATGATTTTATTAATGAAATTTGTAAGGAAATCAATATATCAATGATTTTTACAAATTAAACAAAATAATATACTCAAAATTTGAAAAATATCACAACTATATTATTAATAAATTTGAAAAAATTTGTAAATTGAAAAAAAAAATCTTTTGTTATTACGAAAATGAAATAAATAAATTCCTAAGAAAAAAATGATTATAAATAAACTCTGAAATTGATGGATTATTTTTATTTAATAAAATAATACAAAATATTAATGTTGGTAAGTATCTATTAAAAAACAAATTGATTGATCATTTCCAAAAAAACCTCTAATCTATATAATCTTCCAGATTCAGACACAATTAAAATATTACCAAAATTATCTATTATAAAGTCAAAGAACAATGATACCCTTATGTATTAAAAAAATGGGAAAAGTACAATAAAAACCAATGGACTTTCTTGTTTGAAATGATTAAGTCCTTAGACTTTTTTTTGGAACAAATAAGTCCTTGGACATTCCAAAATATGTTAAATAAGTCCTTGGATAATTTTTGGAACAAATAAGTCCTTGGACATTCCAAAACATGTTAAATAAGTCCTTGGACAATTTTTTGGAACAAATAAGTCCTTGGACATTCCAAAAAATGTTAAATAACTCATTGGACAATTTTTGGAACAAATAAGTCCTTGAACAATCCAAAACATGTTAAATAACTTCTTGAACTTTTATAAAACA